CACACACACACACACACACACACACACACACACACACACACACACACGGCACTAGGTATACTTATTTCAGCAAAACCCTTAAACTTTTAGAATCCCTGAGAAAGAATGTCTATTGTGTGCACTTTATGTAGAGACAAAAAAAAAAATCTAGTTGCCTGAATTTATTGGAGACTTTAAAGACCCCATAAAGCACTGGATTTATGTTAAGAATCAAATTGAGTCCAAAATCCAGAGGTAAGTAGTCAAGGCTCTAGTGTGATGACTGCTCACTCATACGCTTTCCTTGGCAATCTTTGGGGTTGCTTGGCCCTTCGAGCTTTTAAGAGCTTAATTGAATTGGACAGTACATTATAAGCAGTTGGCTTGATGAAACCTTAGTGGCTTCCCTCAGTTTTTAGGGGAAGAATTTGGACGGATTAATAAAGAGTAACTTTCTGCTTATTGACATGCTCCCGCAGAGGTTTTATGTGGCCTCCTCACGCCAGTTGAAGCGCCTGGAGTCGGTCAGCCGATCTCCAGTGTATTCACACTTTAATGAAACTCTCCTGGGTGTCAGCGTCATCCGTGCCTTTGAAGAACAGCAACGTTTCATCCAGCAGAGTGACCTGAAGGTGGATGAGAATCAGAAAGCTTATTACCCCAGCATCGTGGCCAATAGGTGAGCTAGCATTCTCCGGGATCCAGCATTTTTCTTTCAAAAGAGACTACCTTGTTGTCTGTTGGAATTGGTGGGAGACAAAATACCAGGGTTTCTGGGAACCCTTAGCAAGATAACACAATTTCATTTATTTTGTGGTTAAGACTTTGGGCAACCAGTATAGCCATGAAGTAAGCAAAGAAAATGTCCAAATGGGTACTTGTTGGGAGATCATAAACCCTTCTCTAGGTGCTTACCCAGACATTATTTCACTGTTTCCCTTTGATGGGCTAGAGATAGCTTCATGCTTTCCTCTCAAGTAAACTGTACAGGCTTTATGCCATCCAGAAACTTTTTATCTCTCCCAAACATTTATGTATAAAATATGATGGTAATTTAGAAGCTGGAAGACACCGATGGCAGTAATTCAGAAGGGAAGAGACACATCTCTATAGAACAGGAGACATAGACAGTACTCTTTTTTGTTTTCTATTGTTAAATAAATATATTATTTATTTTAAATATTTTTTCCAATTACATGTAAAAAAAATTTTTAAGATTTTTTTTTAATTTTGAGCTCCAAATTGTCTCCTTCTTTTCCTCCCTTCTCCCCTTATTGACAAGGCAGGCAATTTATTATAAGCTATTTATTCATATTTTTTTTGGAAGTTTTTTTTTAGCTAACAAGTTTTTTAAAATAAATCTTTCTTTTCTAATATCTCTCACCCACGATGAACAAATTTTTTAAAAGGCAAAAAAAATTCCTCAGACTATATCTACATTATCTAGCAACATAAATTCCCACAATAGGCACATTCAAAAATGTGTATCTATTTCTGAATTTTCAGTTTATCACCTCTCTATCTTGAGGTGAGTCATGTTTCATCTTCATTCTTTAGGACTTGTGGTTTATCTTTACATTGATGATGCAAGAACTTTAAAGTACAGCTGTAGGCCATTTAGTGCAGGGACAAACAGCCTCAGTATCCCCTGAGGGCATCATTGTATTAAGAAACACTAGAACAATTGATGTTCATTCTAATGTCTCTGAGTCATCAAGATAAGATGAAATTATATACTAGTTGCTTCACTAAAAAACCAGGAAGGTATGATGTATTTTAATTAGTTTTGTTGATAACATCTTGTTTTTTACAGTCCTTTATCTATGAGCCACCTTTACATGATAAGAAAGCAAAAGCAACTGAAAAATGACTTATCTGACAACATATGGAGCATTCCTCACCCATAGGCCCCTACCTCTCCACCTACAGGAACTGTGTTTCATTATGTCTTCTGGAACCAAGGTTGATCATTGCATTTAATCTGAGTTGTGATATTTTTTAGAAAGGTATCCATCCCAGAGATTTGTTACTGCCAAGGGACCGAGCAGATCACAGAAGATTAAATGGACAGTTTTAATTATATAAAATGAAGAAATTTTAGCACAAAAAAGCTAGTACACTTAAAATTAGAAGAGAAAGAGGTAACTGGGGAAAAAAATCTTTGTAACAAGTTTTTTGATAAAGGTATCTAATCTGCTATATATATGCAGATATGTTATATGCACATATATATGTTGTACACATATATAGAACTTATTAAAATTTATGAGATTAAGAGCAGTTCTGTAATAGTTGAAGGCTGTGAACAAGGATTTTTTTTCTTTTCTTTGGGCGAGGCAGTGAGGGTCACACAGCTAGTTAGTGTGAAGTGTCTGAGGCAGGGTTTGAACTATAGTCCTGACTCCAGGGTCAGTGCTCTATCCACTGTGCCACCTAGCTGCACCCTCCCCTCCTTTTTATTTATTTATTTTTTTTGGTGAAGCAGTTAGAGTTAAGTAACTTGCTTTGGGTCACACAGCTAATGTCAAGTGTCTGAGGCCAGATTTGAAGTGAGGTGCTGGGGGCAGCGAAGTGGCGCAGTAGATAGAGCACTGGCCCTGGAGTCAGGAGGACCTGAGTTCAAATCCAACCTCAGACCAAACACTTGACACCTACTAGCTGTGTGACCCTGGGCAAGTCACTTAACCCCAATTGCCTAAAAAACAGAAACAAAATCCCAAAAAAACGAAGTGAGGTCCTCCTGACTGGTGCTCTATCCTCTGTGCCACCTAGCTGCCCAAGGGTTTTTCCACGAAAGAAATCCAAGCTGTCAACAATCAATTGAAAAATTGTTCCAAATCACTAATAATTAGCAAAATAAAATTAAAGCAACTTTGAGGGGGTCATACCCATTAGCTTGGCAGATATGTTGAAAGAAGAAAATGATAAATGTTGGAGGATTAATTAATTAATTGGAGGAGCTGTGAATTGATCCAGCCATTCTGGAAAGTAATTTGGAACTAAGCTGCGCATACCCTTTGATCCAGTAATACTACTGCTAGGCTTATATCCCAAAAAGATCAAATAAAGAGGAAAGAGACCCATGTGTACCAAAATATTTGTAGCAGTTCTTTTTATAGTGGCAAAAAACTGGGAATTAAGAGTGTGCCCACCTGTAAGGGAATGCCTAAACAAATTATAGGTTATGAATGTAATGGAATATTATTGTGCTGTAAGAAATGACAAGATGGACAGGGTTAGAGGAAACTGATGAGATCTTTATGAACTGTGCAGAATAAAAGTGAGCAGAACTTGAGAACAATTAATACTATGACAACATTATAAAGAAAAACAACTTTGAAAGCCTTTAGCACTCTGATAAATGTAATAAGAAACCATGATTCCATTTGCTTAATCCTATTCCACACATTCCAATACATCTTTTTTGAATGCCCATGCCATCAGCTTCTTCCATCATCGCCATATTCATATCTGAAAGGTTTCAAGTGTGTCTTGGATGCTACCCTTGTAATGCACCCTCTCCTCTTCACTCTTGTGCCCCTATCTTTTAGCACCCTTAGCTACCTTCAGAACTCCCTTTAGGCTACACCTTAAAAAGGAAACCTTTCCTGATCTCCTTAGTTTTTTTTTTTATTAATTTATTTTAAACTTAAATACAAAATAATAAAAGAAAAAGAAAGCATTGCCATGTGCGCAGCAGAATGTAAGAGAGGATTCAAAACATACAGCAATAAATTTCCATTTCAAGAAAGCCTAAAAAAATCCCAAAAAACCATGATTCCAGGCATGGAGGATGAAGGCTCCATTCACTCCTGACAAAAATGGACTTTTAAAGTGCAGAAAGAAACATATTTTTGTATATAGCCAATGTGGGAATTTATTTTAGTAGATTATACATATTTGTTACCAGTATACTACTTTTTTCTTTTTTTTTTAATTGTTCAAAAACGGGGGAAGCAGGAAAAAGAAAATAATAAATGCTTTTTAAAAATTGTCACTTTCAGAGAACAAGCTTTTGTTATCTGGAAAATTCACCTCATTTCCTGATGATACTGGATAATTCAAAAGTTACTTTTATTTTAGTCATCTCTTCATATTCTTTCCTCTCTTGTCCCTAAGCCAGCCTCTTTCAGACCAAGAGATGGAAAGAATCTTTCAGGAATAAAGGATGTTTTTTGCTTTGGTGGATCTTGGAGCCCAGGGTTGACTGGTATGTGTATGTATGTCTCTGCAGGTGGCTGGCCGTTCGACTGGAATGTGTGGGAAACTGCATCGTTCTCTTTGCAGCCTTGTTTTCTGTTATATCCCGGCACAGCCTCAGCCCTGGCTTGGTGGGCCTCTCAGTCTCTTACTCCCTGCAGGTAAGAGCAAGAAAATCTTCTGATATTCGAAATTATTTTTAAAGAGGGCAAGAGGTGGAAGGGTATAAGATTGTGAGTTCTTGCATCCCAATTTTGAGTCCATTATGATCTAGGTGGTGCAATGGATCAGGTGCCAGACCTGGAGTTAGGAAGACTCATCTTCCTGAGTTCAAATCTAGCCTCAGACATGTACTAGCTGTGTGATCCTGGTCGAGTCGCTTAACTCTGTTTGCCTCAGTTTCCTTAACTGTGGAGAAAGAAATGGCAAACCACTCCAGTATCTTTGCCAAGAGAGCCCCAAATGGGGTCACAAAGAGTTGGACACAACTGAAAAGTGACTTAATGACATCAACAACAATAAAAGCTTTGGTTGCAGGGAAGAACTTGTTTCCCCTTCCAGCTCTTCTCAATTATTTCTTTGATCTTTTAATGAGGAAACACCTTGCTTTGCCTTTGATGTTGATTCCCAGAAGCATGGGAGATATTTTGGAAATGTGGAAATTACCTAAAATCCCAGAAGCCTAGAATCTGAGAACTGAAAGGGGATTTTGAAATACTTTGATCTCAAGCAAGGTGAACATCCAGGAGAGCGACAGGCTGATGTCTTTCGTAAATAGCCTGAAACCCTTGCCTTATGTTTATCTGACATTGTTCTGGAATTCAGGGGCACCTTTTGCCCAGGACTGTTTTTGGACTGGGGCTTTGGATCTCAGGCTTCCTGCTGTTTCCACCATATGAGAATGTGTTTGGCATTGGTCCATTCACCCAGCCACATAAGCTGACTTAAACCCCTGCTGATTTCATGCCTTTTGTTTTTTACTCCATGATTATTTCCCAATGGACTTTCCCTGCCCTGTCCTCCCTGCCCAAACTGTAATCCTCCATTAGAAACAAAGAAAAGAAGTTAAACAAAACTGACTGGCACAAACTACTGAGTCTTGACAGCTTATGTAGCATTCCACCCCTCAATGAAGAGTGGTCATTGCTAGCAAGCAAAGTCCCTGGATGTTAATTCCTTTGTTGCCACAGCATTTCTTATCTTCAGGTGAAACTCCCTGCATCCTATTTGCCTTCTTTTCCCAGTGAGCTCACAGGGAAGTAAAAAGGTTGGAGGCGGTATTTACATTCATTCATACCTTGATCAGATTACCTGATACTGTAGGGCTGGGAGGTTTAAGTGTGGTAAGATTGCTATGTGAGTTCTACTCCAAATTACCCCAGACATCCCAAGTGTGGGGTAGTTAGCATAAGCGAAGGTGTGTGGCAACCTTACACTTCTGGTCCAACCCCCTCATTTTACAAGTGAGGAAAGTGAGGTCCAGAGGAGTGAAGACGTCCAGATAATTAATGGCGGTGCTCGGATTAGAACCTGGGTCTTTCCTGTCTCTTTGTCTAGTGTTCTCCCTGCTTCTCCATACACTGTGGATTACTTTTGGTGGGTTGTAGGGGTAGAATTCCTTTTAAGGAGTGGCGCTGTCTGCCCCTCTAAGGGAGGGAGGATTTAAAGGTAAGATTGCTTAGCCTCTTTAGAATCAGAATTCAGTTGTCATATTTGAATGGGGTGGTAGAAAGGTTACTTGGACTTGCAGTCTTGGAGATTGGGATTCCAGGGCTGGCTCTGTCTCTGACCCGGTATGTGACCTTGAGTAATTGGCCTTAGCACCCCTGTCCAATAGAGGTAATGATACCTGCCCTGCCTACCTCACAGAATTCCTGATAAGAGTAAAATGGATAATGCAGGGCTTCTTTTTTTAAAAAATATTTTGATGACTATTTCATTATAATTGGTTTCCGTTTTAATCCTATATTTTTTTTTATGCATTTAAGAACATCATTCTGGGCAGAGTTCCATAGACTTCACCAGAATGCCAAAGGGGTTCATGACAAAAAAACTCTTGGAGAATATTTTTGAAACATAAAGCATACTACAGATGCAAAGGATTATTATTGAGGACTTTCAGAGATGCTTGAATTTGAGAATTCTTTGTGATTTTCCTGTCATTGTCTCTGTGATCATGTCCCATGCCAGTAGGGTATCCCAGAGGGTTTGACAAGACACTGAAGATAGAGGTGCCCTTGGTCTTGTGCTTTAAGAGGTTACCATGAACTATATGTTTTTTGGGGATTTTTCAGAAATGTTTTTCTTAGAGATTCTTGGGATAAGGAGTGTTTGTGGGCAAGGTGGATGAGGACCTTTCACTGAGATGAATTCTGCTTTTGTAGGTCACCACATACTTGAACTGGCTGGTAAGAATGTCCTCGGAGATGGAAACAAACATCGTTGCTGTGGAGAGACTCAAAGAATATTCAGAAACAGAGAAGGAGGTAAAGTGTTTTTGCATTTGGGAAAGGTGCTTGACCTTCACCTAGAATCATCTTGCCCAACAGCATTGGGAGTCTGTTCTGTTACTGACTGTATGTCTTGACTTAAACCCTGAGACACCAAGAAAATGTCCACCAGACGTAGAACAGGGACCCAAGGTTATCAGCAGAAACAGAAGGATCACATTCCACCTAGAAACCCAACAGGCTTACTCTTTAATTTTCTGAAATGGCTAAACCTGTCCATCTTTGTGGAACTAAGCAAGATTCTTACTCCTAAGTCAAGAATGGGTTCTTCCAAAAGAATGGCATGAGCTTCCTCTAATGGAAATATGGGGTATTGCACTTGGAGTTTCTGCTTTATGTTTGACTGTCTAATCTATCTTATCACTGGCATATTGTCCATGTTTTAGGGTCCTGAGATTTGAAATGTTGAATTACCTCTAGGAAAAACTTTCTTCTTGGCTTCATTTTCATGAAACCTTCAGTGTGTGAAACATAGCCCTACACAGCCACCTAAAAAGATTTTAAAATGACTTCTTAGTTCTCTCCCCTCTTCTGAAAACTGGTACTGCACCATTCAGTCTTCTTTTGAGGTCCACTCTTAGGAGTCTCACTGGGTATCAGTGAAGCATTTTCATGTTTCTGGGCATGTGATGAACATGAAGAACATTTGTGTATCCTGCCTATCTCAGTGAGTATACAGTATAGAATAGCTTCTTCTATTAAAATCACTCTAATTATTCCCCACAGTTCCTTTAGTCAATTCTTAATAGGAGGCCAGATCTTTACCATCCTAGTCACCTTCTCTGCCTGATTTCCAGCTTATCAATTTCCTTTAGTTCTCTGGTACCCAGAACTGAAATTAAATATTCTAGGTATGGTCTGATCAGTACAGAGTATGCCTAGTCCTGAACATCACAAATTATAGCCTAAGATTGCATTAGTTTTTTTTTTTTTTTGACTGCCATATCAGTCTAGACTGTTGACCCATATTGAGCTTTGGATTTTACTAAAATACCTCCATGGTCCTGTCTCCCGTCTTTTTTAGACTAACTATTGCCTAGCTCTTGTACTTGATGAATTTGATTTTTGGAACCCAAATATAAGACTTTGGATGAGTCACTGAACTCTTTTGGCCCCAGTTTCCTCATCTGTAAAATGAGAGGGTTGGATTAGATAATAAGGTCTCTTTCAGCTTTAAATCTGCGCTCTTTTGTAAACCAGTCAAGAAGTAATACAGAAGAAGATTTAAGAAATACAAAGAGGTGCAAGTTAAAAGCCTTTTCCAAATGAACTTGGTTGTCATTGGACATCATTTAGCCAAACTCTGCAAGTAAGTAGGTAGTATAGTGGGCAGTTGTGCTGGACTTAGAGTCATGAAGTCCTGAGTTCAAATGCAGCCTCAGACACTTACTGGCTGTGTGATCCTGGGCAAGTCAATCTCTGTTTGCCTTAATCCACTGAAGAAGGAAATGGCAAACCACTCCAGTATCTTTGTCAACAAATCCCCATGGACAATACTGGTGTTCACTGGTCCACAGGGTCACGAAGAGTTGGATACAACTGAACAACTAAACAGCAGCAAAAGCCTGAGAGGCTCTCTGCTATGAGAAAAGTACCCTACTTACTTTTAATTTAGATGTTCTAATTCTCAGTTACTTGGTTTTCCAGCTCGTAGCATATTTGTTGTTCAGTCATTTTTAGTCATGTCCAACTCTTCTCTTCATGACCCCATTTGGGATTTTCTTGGCAACAATAACTGGAGTGGTTTGCCATTTCCTTTTCCAGCTCATTTTACAGATGAGGAAACTGAGGCAAACAGGGATAAGTGACTTGCCCAGGGTCACACAGCTAGTAAGTATCTAAGGCCAGATTTGAACTTATGAAGATGAGTCTTCCTGACTCCAGGGCTGGCACTCTATCCACTGTGCCAGTTAGCTGCCAACATAGCACATTAAAAACGTTTAAAAAGAACACATAATAATAACAGGAAGAAGTAAAAGCTATAAGGAAAAACTCTTAAGGAAGAACAAGGACTTAAAAAGCATAGAAGCCTGGAGGGGGTGGGGTTTAATAAAAGGATTAAACAATCCTAAACCCCTCAAGAGTCCCTGAAGATGTCTCTATATTCTTTTTCAGCAGAATTGATGTTCAGAGCTATTAATTACTTTGAGTCATCCAGAATGGTTCAATTAAGTTCTCTATATGTGACTTAAAAGGACAAGAAAGCCTGTAATGTGACAGAAAGATCTCCAGGTAGTCAAAACAAAAACAAACTTAAGGGTTTAAATGGCAATATTTTATTACTTAGAAAATTCAGTTACAAGGACTTTGAATATATGAGGTGTTACTTGTAGCACCACGTTGAGTTGCTCCTGATTCATCCTTTTCTTAAGACTCAGAAGTTTCCTGGGTGACATTTGTTTTAGTAGCAGCAACAACCTGCATTTGCCCTTGTTCAGTGTAATCCAGCAAAGATAGTGCCTTCTGTGGTCAAGACAGAGTAAAAGCATCCGTTTGCCCCCCTTTGCTCTATTAATGAACCCCTAGTAGAAAGGCTTCTTTCACCGTTGGAACAGAAAGGTCTTTTGTGTTCCTTTCCTACCTGTCTCAAACTGCCAACAGAAGCCCTCCCTCCCCAAAAACAAAACAAAACAAAAAAAAACCAACCCAACATTTTAGAGTTATATGGTACAGTGATAATGGTGCTGAACTGGGAGTCACAATGATCTGAATTCTAGTATCAGCTCTGCCATTTCCTGCTTGCATGACTGCAGATGAGTCACTTAAACTCCCCCAGGGCCTAGTTTCCTCCTCCATAAAAAGAGGGTAGTATGACTGCTGAGGTCTTTTCTACTTCCAGATCCTGTGATCTAATACTGATTGCATCTCTAATGGCTCTTCCAGCTCTGAGGTTCTCTAAGTTTATGTCAACAGAAGCTTTGTGGCATCTTCCTGGGCAGAGGCGTCCAACTCTCTAGCAGTCTATAAAAAAAGTAATTGGGAAATATCTAGTAAAACAAATAAAAATGGACTACAACATGGATGATGTTAATTTGTGGTTTTCTAAGTCAGTATGTGACCCTCAGGAATCTGATGCCCCTGTCCTAGAAAGTAGTGTCACTCCTTGGGACTCTGGGTGGGGAAGGAAGCAGGATGATTGGACTATGCTAAGCCACTGATTTGAAAGTTTTTCTGGTAGAGATGGGAATATGGAACTTTTGGGTGGCTTTGGAGTTCTTTAAGTCAGAAGTCCTTGGAAGCTTATTGCACTTGGGACCAGGGAAGGGATTGCCGTTCACTTTGCTAATGAATATCCAAGAATCTCTAGCTTTCTTCAGATTTCAACTCATGTGTCACCTTTTATACAAGGCCTTTCCTGATGCTTCCAAATTGTTAGTGCTCCTCCTTCAGCCCCCTAATTACTTTGTGTTTAGCTTACACACCTTTTGTATATACTTATCTGTATATATTATGTCCCTCCAGTAGATTATAAGCTCCTGGAGGGCAGGGACTGTTTCTCTTTTGTAATTGTCCCCTTAGTGCCTAGCAGAATTTCAAGAACAGAGTAAGCAGTTAATCAGTGCTTGTGGGATTAGATTGATCTCTCCACTGACCATCTTCCCTGGCTATGATTTTAGGCTCCGTGGGATATCGAAGAAACGGCCCCTCCCAGCAACTGGCCACAGCAGGGCCGAGTGGAATTCCGAAACTTCAGTTTACGTTATCGGGAGGACTTAGACTTAGTTCTGAAACACATCAATATTACCATTGAAGGAGGGGAGAAGGTAGGTACCTATCCTCTACCTGGACCTTGAGCTTCCTCTTCCTGACCTGCATGAGTTGTTTCTCTAGCTTTTAAGCTGCCTCTTCAACACAGGTGTGGGTGCGATCCTAAAAATGTCAGCTAAAAGGCCACTATGGCCAGGCAAATAGAACCGACTAAAGTCACTATTCTCTCAGAAAAGAGACCATTCAGCTTCCACTTGGTTGAGCGGCCTTCTTTGGAAACCACAATGGCTCAGCTTTGGCCCAGGAAGATGGAGATAGTACCATTATCACTCTGGCAATGTTTTACAAAATCAGATTCCAAAATGACATCTTGTTCCTTAGCCGTTTTTGGAAGAAGAGAATGAAGGCCTTGAAGCTGTCTCTGGGAAGTTTTGAGCGGGGAAGACAACACTGTTGTTGTAGGTGTAGCAGTAGGCTGATGGCTGTCATCGAATGCGTTTGGTACTGGAGTAGGGGAGGGATTGGAGTCATTCTTGTACGGTCCCCAGGGAGCCCAATGTTCAGGCATCTCCATTTGGTGTTATCCAACAGGTTGGGATTGTAGGTCGGACGGGAGCAGGCAAGTCATCGCTCACCCTGGGCTTATTTCGTATCAATGAGTCTGCAGAAGGAGAGATCGTCATTGATGGTGTCAATATTGCCAAGATTGGGCTGCATCACCTCAGGTTCAAGATCACCATTATCCCTCAGGTATAGAGCTAGGGGAGGGAAGAAGGCAACTTTTAAATAGCTTATGTTGCTGAAGGCTGACTTTTAAAATTATTTTTTAAAATTTTAATATCTCGGATGAATTTGATCATACAGAGTTGGAAGTGAAATCTTAGAGGTGATCTAATTATACCTTCCTACACATTATAAGAATTCCTTCTGTAGCATCCCTGTCAAGTTTTTAGACAGTGATTTTAATTAATTTTTCATTTTTGACATGTGGTTATATGAAAATTTTCTCAGATAAATATGATCTTTGCATATTTTGTATGAGATACTAGGAACGAAGTCTTTTATCATCATCTATTTTTGAGTTAGAAGTCTCCAACCTCTATTTCACAGAGCTGCAAATAGAACTTTCTAAATTGATATTTGTATATAAACCATTGTTTTAAGATTTTAAATATAATTTCCTTTTTATAAATTAAAACTCATCATGCCACAGTAGTTTCCATTGGCCACAAGTGGAATAGTCTAGGGGGCAGCTAGGTGGCGAAGTGGATAGAGCATCGGCCCTGAAGTCAGGAGGACCTGAGTTCAAATCTGGCCTCAGACTAAACACTTGACACTTACTAGCTGTGTGGCCCTGGGCAAGTCACTTAATCCCAATTGCCTAAAAAAAAAAAAGTAGCATAGTTTGTCTTGATTAAGACAGTTTGGAATTGGAGGGGCTTATGTAGGAGAGTAGTGGGAACCAAGGTTAAAGGTCAAATTGCAGAGGGCCTTAAAGTCAGACTTAAAAAAATTTATTTACTCTTACAGGAACTACAACCCTGTTTTGAGGTATTAGGTGCTTCCTCTGTCTAAAGAAGATATTTTTTTAAAGGAGCTGGTTGAGAAATTGTTATCACTGGCTGGCTGATCCTAGGCCCTAGCCAGGTCTGGATTAATAAATAGTTGCTGGGTTTGGGCTCCAAATAAATTTGGTGTTTATCATTAGCACTCTGGTTAACATCCTGCAGATGTAAGGGTATATAGGGGCTCAATCATAGCTAATGATGTGTAAGAAAGAAAGAAAGAAATTATCTGATGCCTGGGACATTTTTTGGATAAGAAGTCAAATGGTACATTTAAGCAGTGATTAGGGGTAAGGGGAATAATAAAGGGTAGGCATAGATGGCATTTTTAGGCCATACATCCTCTAGTAGGAACCATAAAGGAAATTTATTTGCTCTTTGGCTTCCTTTTCAAATATTTGCCATCAGAGAGTAATGGGAAGAGTTCCAGGCTTGGAGCCATAGTACCTGGGTTTGAATTGTGACTCTGTCATTTGTTTTCTGTGGGACCCTAGCGTGCCTCGTCTCATGAGTAACAGCTCACATTTGTAAATCACTGCATTGATTACAAAACTTATTTCTTGCTTCTAGGCCCTCAGTTTCTTCATTTCTAAAATGGGGTAATAGTACTTACTCTACCTACCTTCCCAGATTGTTGTGAGGAAAGCATTTTGTAAACTCTGAAGTGCTTGATAGATGGGAGCTATTATTACTCTCCATGGCACTATCCCTAAGTACCATAAATGGACTGGTTCAGATGTGGAATGTGAATATGTGCAATTTTTTGTGGCCTACATCACTCCTTCCTTATACATCCAACTCAGACTTTGGAAATCTGAGAGCTCTTAGTGCTCAGATGGTAAAGAACAGTCTCTGATCTGTCCTTTCCCTATATAACTTCTTCATTTGGAAGCCAAAACAAGGGATTGTCGGACGTGCATCATTCTGGTTTTCCCATGCGTAGGACTATTTTTACATCTATGGTAAAGAGCACAAAAAGCTTATCTTGCTGTCTAGGCCCTTGGGTTCAAATCCCACATCTGACACTTACTACCTGGGTGACTCTGGGAAGTTATTCAACCGTCCGAGGCCTCAGTTTCCTTTCATGGAAAATTAGATCTGTCTTAGAAAGAGAGTGAAGCCTGTCTTTTAGCTAATGATAAAGGGAATTACTTCACTGAGCCCATAGGGCAGCTCCTCTAGCATCTTCTCTGCCTTGAGTCATGGTACATTCCAAACTTTCCTTTGAATAGGATCCAGTCTTGTTTTCCGGCGCCCTGCGCATGAACCTGGATCCATTTAACCAGTACTCAGATGAAGAAATCTGGACATCTTTGGAACTGGCTCACTTGAAGAACTTTGTGTCAACTCTTCCTGATAAGTTGAATCATGAGTGTACAGAAGGAGGAGAGAATCTGAGGTAGGGTCAGAGGCATGGGCTTCCTCCTCTCTCTTAAACACACACACACAGACACACAGACAGACAGACAGATACACACACACACACAGACACACCACAAACCGAACAACCAATCAACCCAACAGCACATTTTAAAAATTATACATTTTAAAACCTGCTAACAATAGCAAAAGATAAGCATACCAAATAAAGAATAAAATCATATATAAAACACTTAGTATCTAACAAAGTAGAAACAAGTAAATTAACCATTTAAAAAAATTGTGCTTGTTTGGATGGGGGATGTACAAGCTTGGATAAAGACAATCTTCCTCACTTCTGAGTGTCCTTTGGCTTGGATTAGGGCAATTTGACTGCCTTAAGATTGAATCCTGGTATAGGTTTTAGGGAATGGTTGTGTAAGGGATCATTGCAGGAAGACTTGTATTAGTCAAATGAAATGTGGAGCTAAAATCCTATCTGGGGATTCAGATTGTCCTCAGAGACATTGTTTTTTGCAAGTCTCAATCCTTCCATAGGTAAAGAGATTATGATGACTCAAGGTGGGAGCAGTGGACTCCTCCTGTCCCTCCTACTGCCCTAGCATATGTGCTGTCACTCCCACTCTTGCTCTTGTGTTTCAAGATTGGGACAAAATGGTAGCTGTGCACTGAAACCCAGAATGCTTGGCCCCAATGTTCTTCCACTTAGATAAAAGTTAAACTCTGACTCTGGGCCAAGAGTCACCTACTAACTTCTGTTTTTCATGAGAGGTTTTTTTAAATCATATTAATGATTTTTTTCCCCTGATTTACTGCCCTTTCTCCCCTTTTATTGATCCTCCCTTGTACCAAAGAAAAATATCTCAGCAGAGTCTGACAGTGTAGGCAACCTTCTGGACCTGTGGTTTTCTACCTCTTCTGAGAAGAGGAAAGTGTGTTTTACCATCTGCTCTTCAAGGTCAAGATTGGTCATTCTAGCACAGAATATCAGAAAACAGGTTGACTCCAAAGACCCCAGGAAGAAGGGTGGAATGCTTTATAGAGCTGCTGATAAAATCACTGGTAGCAAGGTAATTCCAGTCCTTGCTAGACAAAGCAAGCTCTTGTTTGTTCAGATAAGGACAAGCTCAGAGGCACCCTGAGTGAATGGGAAGTTTTGATCCCAATCTCAGCTCTTCCACTAATTACTTCTCACAACCTCATTTAATTTCTCCAGGCTTGCTTCACTTTTCCTTTCTGTTAAATGGGAGTTGAAAGCCCATGTAGGATGCCACCACTAGGCAACCTTCACAGAGGGGTCAAAAGTATTTATGGCAACACTTCTTTATGATAACAAAGAACTGGAAACACAGTTAGTGCGTGTCAGATGGGGAATGGTTGAACATGTTATGTATATGAACATAATAGAATAGCATTGTGTTGTAAGAAACAGTGAAGAATGCAGAGACTTGAGAAGATTTTTATGAACTAATGCAGAATAAAGTAAGCAGAAACAGAACAATTAATGTAGCAGAGTAGAGGATTAACAATATTGAAAGAACTCAGGTCGATAAAGCAAACCATTATAAATATTGATAGGGAACCATATCTGTCTCCTCTCAGCAGAGACACAGTGTGTACTTACTCTAAGTGCAGAAGGAAGCATGATTTCTCAGGCTTATGACAGATGAGGATTCTATTGACATGTAAATGTAACAGTTATTAGTATTGCACAGATGTAGCCTTGGTGAGGGAGGAGGTCATCCTTTTTTTTAACTGTTACTGCCTCATTTTCCTATTCTGTCATCCTGGATTCTCAGAGGATATATTTTGTATTCTACATTAATTACTTAAATTGAAACATTTTTCTTATTAACTAAACAATTAGTGATAAGCCCCCACCTCAATCTGTTAAATAGTATTTGTTAAATAGACTAATAAAACCTCCTTTCTTATAAGTATTTACTAACTCGTATGTATGTATCAAACCTAATCTCCGAGGATTAAATAGACATCAATTATTGTCTATATTAGGAGCAACTAGGTGGCACAGTGGATAGAGTGCTGGGCCTGGTGTCATGAAGACTCATCTTCCTGAGTTCAAATCTGACCTGAGTTCAAATATGATCTCAGACACTTAATAGCTGTGTGACCCTGGGCAAGTCACTTAATCCTGTTTGCCTCAGTTTCCTCATCTGTAAAATGAGCTGGTGAAGGAAATGATAGAACACTCCAGTATCTCTTCCAAGAAAACCCCAAATGGGTTTGCAAAGAGTCAGACACAACTGAAAAACAGCTGATCAACACTGATTATACTATTTATTAGCTGTGTGATGAACAAAAAGTCACCTTTAATCATCTCGTCAACTGCTCACTTTTCCTCGGTTCTAGAAACAGTCACACTGTTCAGTTCTCTTAAGGAAATAACTTTTCCCAGTTCTCTAAAGAATTCTCTTTTTAATGTTTCCTCATAGGAGTTCAAATAATTTTCAGAATGAAGTTCTTTTTATTCTCTTTCTCTGTTTCTCAATCTTTCTCTAAACAGGATAGGTTATACTTTCAAAATGTCAGTTGAATTGCCAGTCTCCGAAGATTCTGTTTTCTATTAGAAACACAGAATAATATACCAGAACTGATCAGTTCAGGCTGCTCCCTCAGGTTTGAGATTAGAGTGAAACAAGACACTTAATAGTATATCTAACCAGTTAGCAAAAGGTGGTTATCATTGCAGGGAAAAGGACCCTCAGAGCAAGGAAAATCTATTCATTGAGGAGACAGTCAATTCAGTATAGTTTTCCTGGTTTGGTCATCTGGTGTTGGTCATGTTCCAGGTCTGCCAGTAGGAAGCCTCAAAGCCTAGGTGAATTAGCTCCTCAGGCCACCAAGGTTTGTCAGTAGTCTGAGCACAAGTCCCCTGAGCCAATTAAGCCTTGAGAACAATTTCCTTTTAAGGAAAAGCACTAACCTATCCCACACATTTGGGGACTCTGGTAGATGCTCCTACCACCATATATGAAGATATTAAATATTGTATTATTAGTTTACAGTAAAAGTATCTGTATTCTCTGTAGGAAAGGTTATTGAAGCTGATATTACATTACATCAAAGTGTGCCTGGCACATAATAGGTGCTTAATAAATGTTTATTGATTGATTAGAATGGAAAATGTTTTTAAATTCTCATAGCAAGTGAGCTAAGCATAAGGAAATAGCATGAGTTCGTTCACTAAGAAGGTTCTCTTTGACTGGAATAAGTGAGAAAAGGTGTCTGCTCATGTGTGTGTTGGGTTGTTGTTTTCTAATATCTGTCTCTCTCTCTCTCCCCTTCCCTCCTTCCCACTTTTTCTGTCTCTCTCTCCTTCTGTCTTCCCTCTCTCCCTCTCCTCTTCTCTCCTTTCTTTCTCTCTGCTTCCCCCCCTTTCTTCTCTTCTTTCTCTTTCCCTGTGGGGTGTAGTGTTGGGCAGCGCCAGCTTGTGTGCTTGGCACGGGCTTTGCTGAGGAAAACCAAGATCTTGGTATTGGATGAGGCTACTGCTGCAGTGGATCTGGAAACAGACAACCTCATTCAGTCTACAATCCGCACACAGTTTGATGATTGTACCGTCCTCACCATAGCTCACCGGCTCAACACGATCCTGGACTACACAAGGTAAAGTCCACCTTTTTCTCTAGGCATCTGATCTAGGGTTGATTTTCCCTCTGGGCTTGTACTGAATGGCCAGCAGCAGCTAATGAATTCTTTTGAAAGTTGGTCTTCAGGAGCTAGTTACCATGTATGATAGACTGCTTCAGATCTTTCCAAAATCTGAAGTCCAGATTTTCTGACTCTACTGAGAAGTTTCTTTGCTTTTATATCTTTACCTCGGTCATTGATATAATTTCCTCCTTATAGTTTTTCCCCTCAGAAAAGTCACTGAATTTTTTTACTTGGAGTAGCACTGTGACTAGAGCCCAGGGCCTGGAATCAGGATGACCTGAGTCCATATCTGGCTTCAGACACCTACTAACTCTGTGACCCTGAGAAAGTCATTTAACCTCTGATTGCCTCAATTTCCCCAACTATAAAATGGGGATCATACATCTCAGGATTGGTGTGAGATGATATTTGTAAAAAAAAAAAAAAAAAGCTTAGCACAGTGACTGGCACATAGCAGGTGCTATATAAAAATGTTCATTCCTTTCCCCCCTCCCCTTTTCTTTCAGACAACACCATCATGAGGTAGATATCCCACAACTATGGGTCTGATTCCCTGTCCCTTACTTTTATGTTTTTTCTTTTCCCACCTCAGAGTGATTGTCCTGGATAAAGGAGAAATCGTGGAGTGTGGTTCCCCTTCCGTCCTCCTGCAGAAGAAAGGCATTTTCTACAACATGGCTAAAGACGCAGGCTTGGTGTGAGGGCTGTGGTTTTCTCCTCCAGGCAGAACTGAACTAAGCTGATGTTCTTTGGACACAGAGGAGATCTAGTGAGCCTTCTGGAATTCATTCTCTTCTGCTCCTCAAACCAAAAACAGCAGCAGCCGCCTCATTCTGTCTCTACCCTTCACCTGCTCGGATTCTAGGGTGAACGAGGGACAGATGCTACATCTACCTTCTTGCCTCCCCTCTTCAGACTCACACACATTCTCATATCCATAAATGCTTTACCCCTGGCCCCCAGCCTCCAGTGTTCCCCCATACATCCCTATGCATATATATGCTCCATGGAGTACAACTTCCCACATTTTTGCCCCTTTTCAGAGGACTTCTTCTGAACGTTGATCTTCAGAAGTTGGTTGCACATAGTTAGCTAGCTAGTGACCAAATCCAATAGACTGCCTCAGATATTTTCAAGATCTGAAGTCCTAAGTTTCCGACTTTTCCAAGAAGCTTTCTTGCTTCCAGATCCTCACTTAGGTTGTTGATTTAATTTCCCCTTTGCTGCGTTTCCACCACGCTACATTTTTCTGGTTTGCGGTTTTTTTGGTGAGGATTTTAATTACTGTACTTGATTATACTATTCTTACCACGTTGCTGTGCCCTATAGAATGGCTGACAGTTCCCGGGGAAGTGAGAAGGTTTCTTTCTTAACCACCTCTGTCCCTAGGATTCACTTCACTTGTCTTTACTCTCATGCATTTATACTTCAGAAATTGCACTCGTGGGACACCTTCTGAAGTGCACTGGCATTGAGAGGACTTCTTCCAGAAGCTAGAGGCAACCAAATTGACCCAGTCACCTCACTGTGCATCCAGGAAACTTGGTAGAAGTTGTTGATTTTTCAGGGCTAAAAGGGGAAGGGTGCAAAACTATCCAGAGCTCTGAGGTTTTTTATTGCTGACTTTCTGCCTTGGGGAACTCATTGAATTCCCTGTCCTTTTTTTCTTTTCCCTACCTCCTTTATTCCATCTCCAAAATGGTTAAAATACTCTAGGTATCTACATCACTGAAATGTGCAAGGACAAGTTTATGGTTATGAAATGCTCAGAGAGAAGAGGACTGTGGTTGTCCCAAATATTCTTAGTTCTTAAGAATAAGAACCCAGTAGATTCTTACAAGCATTGTTTTAAATTCTGAATTCCTGACCCCAGAGCCCTAGGATCCTATTGATGGAGGTGGGAGTGGAAATCCTGACTCTCAGTCTCGGATTCTTATCCAGACCCACCCACAACTTCTTCAGGGAGAGCAACCACCTCAGACTTGTGCCCTGTTGCTAAGAAATATTTGACAGTGCTTAAGTCCCAGCAGGCAGCTGAGCTGATTGTGCATTTGACCTGCCTGTGCGTTCCTGGGAAGAAATGGAGAAAACGTGATTCCTCAGTGTATGTTGTCTCAGCAGGTGATTACAATGGTATCCAAAAGCAAAGAGAGCTTCCTTCCACTTACTCAGAGATGCAGACTTTGAATTATGTTGCTGACCCCAAAACCAGAGAAATGTCTTCTCTAAGATGGGAAAAAAATATTTATTTTTTGTAAATTATATAATTCCTTAAAGTTGGATAAAACCAAGTTTTTCTTGGGTATCTTTTTGTAATGAATACACTGGAAACGTGAACATTTGCAAATAATTTGCAGTAAAAAAAAATTCAATTTTTTGTTTTGAAATGATTGTCCCCATTTCTTAAAAGCTCCAGCAATAATCCCATACACATCCTTAAATCATGTTAAGGTGTTAATGTGCCTTGTATTGGTTCACATGAACTGGAACTGTCATGAATAGGATACTGGGAGGAAGCAGGGAGTGGGGAAAGCAATTGAGGATGAAAAGAAGGCAGCTGATGGACAGGTGGAAAGGACACAAAATGATCGGTTAATTTCAGTTAACTTGTACCATTGTACCCAGGCTGCTGATGGTCTGGCCTTTGGGTTGTGAAGCTTTGATTTGAAAATGCCAAATTTGGGATTACATATTTGAAGTATTATAAAAACCAGAACATGGCCCTGGATAGCCTAAAATGTGGTTCAAATGTTGAACAGTCATTGTGAACTTCTCCTGGCATTGAGCCAGGAGAAATCTCAGGATCTAGGGGAAAGTTGAATCAGCGTTGTGAGGATGAGACAGAATGTATCATTAAGTCCTGGTTCCGAATGCTACAACCATGGAAATTAGAGCCTGTGAGGACAGAAGGAAAACTGCAGATGTTCACTTGTCTAGATAAGTGCTTCGATTTATTGTGTAAGTGCTTATCATAGAGCCTGGCACATAGTAGATGCTTAATAAATGTTTATTGACTGGCTGTAAGAGCTCCTAAATGCTCCAGCAGCTAGATAGCACAGTAGGTGGAATGTTGGACCTGGAATCAAGAAGACCTGAGTTCAGATCCTGTCTCACATACTAACTGTAAGACCCTGGGCAAGTCATTTAACTTCTGTCTGCCTCAGTTTTCTAAAAAATGGAAATAATAATAGCACTCACCTCCCAGGGTTGTTGTGAGGGTGAAATGAGATAGCATTTGTAAGAGTTTAATCATAAACCTCAAAGCACTATATAAATGCTAGCTATTATCATTATTATTATTATTAGTGCAAGAGGTACATAACAGTACTTTCTTATCCAGACATATCCACAACTTCCTTGTGCCCTATTGCTAAGAAATGTTTGACAGTGTTTAACTTCCAGCAGGTAGCTGAGCTGATTGTGCATTTGGCAGTGCTATGTGTTCCTGGAAAGAAATGGAGAAAACATGATTTCTCATTATATATTGTTTCAGATGAAGATTACATTGATATCCAAAAGCAAAGCAAGCTTTCTTTCAATTACTTAGAGATGCAGACTTTGAATTATGTTTCTGACTCCAAAACCTGAGAAGTATCTTCTCTAAGATGGGGAAAAAATATTTATTTTTTGAGAGATACAGTTTGAGCAAAGGATACTCAAGGTGTGCAAGAGAAATACTAGGAACCAAGCTTACATTTTGAGCTTTCTGGGTTTTACAAGTTCATTTTTTCAGTAAACAAGTATTCTTTCACTGAACACCTGCTTTATATCCAACCCTATACTGGGCACTGTGGAGGAAATGCAAAAGGAGATATCACAACCCTGTTATCAAACGACTCACAGTCTAGCTGTGGGGACAAGGTCTTTTCATGTGAAGAGTAAAATGATGCAAGTTAACATTGCAGAATAGATCACTAAGCAAAATATGGTTAAGCGCCATGCAAGTGAGACAAATGGCCTTTCCCATTGTTAACTTGGGTTTTCTTTATGTTGACAGAAGGAAAACAGCTTATTCTGGAGGGAAATTCTATTCTGGACATGGAGTTCCATTGGCTTCTTTCCCTGTAGGGCCATGGTTTGAATCCATTAGCACCACCGTGAACAGGGTTGCCCAGCTCTGGAGCATGGCCCTGCACACGTCTGGCCTGACGCTGCTAGTTAGCAGCTTCAGTCAAAAGCTTTGTCTGAGAGAAGCTCTTGGCATCTTCTAAGTGGCCCCTGAGAAGTTCGCCAAAAGCACAGTTAACTGCTTTCTTTTTATTCCTACTCTTAGCAGACAATTTGTATGTATCTCAGAAGAAAGATAAGGGAATATTGCTAGACCCGGACGCCTATTTTCCAAAATGACATTGCTTACTTAAATGGGTAGGAGTGAGATGAGTCAGGGTATTATGACTCTCACAAACCCTATAGACCGAAAAAACAAAATGGCCTGGGAGGCCTAGAATACAACTCCTTCCCCGCCCAGGGAGACCCATTTCTTTTCTTTTCTTTTCTTTTCTTATCTCTTTTTTATTAATTTATTTTGATTTGTCAACAATTATTTCCATAAACTTTTGAGTTTTAAGATTTTCTCCCCCTTCCTCCCCAAGACTGCACACAATCTGATATAGGCTATACATACACATTCCTGTTAAACATATTTTCACATTTGTGACGTTGTGAGGAAGAATTAGAACCAATAGGAGGAAACACCAGAAAGAGACAACAAAACAAAACAGAAGAAAAAAAAATAGCAAGTAGTAGGCTTCGATCTGCATTCAAACTCCATAGTTCTTTTCTTTGGATTTTTCTTTTTTTTGGAGACCCATTTCTTAAAGGAAAGAAAGCTTCAGTGTTACTGTGATGAATTCAGTTATGAATACTGAGAGGTCAGAAATGGCCTGAGAAATACAAAATGGAGCCAATCCCCATATTAGTTTAGCAAAATGAGATAATGGTAGGTGAGATTGCAGAGGGTCTGAAGGGTATTCCTGTGAGAAAACAGCAAGGAGTCCAGTGTTGCTGGATCATAGATTGGGGGCGGGGGGGTGAGGGGAGAAGTGTAAGAAGCTTGGAAAGGTAGGAAGAGACCAAGTTATGAAGGCCTTTAAAAGTCATTTTAAAAAAAGATTTTACATTTGATCCTGAAGATAATAGGATGCCACTGCCGTTTATTAAGTAAAGGAGATGACATGGCCAGATCTGCACCTTGGGAAGATCAATTTGATAGCAGAATGGGAAGTGGACTGAAGTGAGGAGACACATGAGGCAGGCAGGAAGATCAACTGGAAAGCTATTGCAATAGTTCAAGTATGAGATGATGAAGGCCTGTGTCAAATTGTTGGTGGTGTCAGAGGAGAGAAGGGGACATAGGTGAAGAATATTAAGAAGGTAAAATTGAAAGGACTTGGCAATAGATTGGATATAGTGAGAGAGTGAGGAGTTAAGGATGATAACTTGATTATAAGCCTGGGTGACTAGAAAGATGGCAGTGTTCTTGAGTAATGGGAACATTAGGAAGAGGGTGGTGGTGGTGTTAAAGTGAATAAGTTCAGTCTTGGACGTACTGAATTTAAAATGTCTATGTATATCTGATCTGAGATATCCAGTAGACAGATTTGAGGTTGGAGGTCAGGAGAGAGGTGGGGGTTGGATTAAGTAGATCTGGGAATCATCAATAACTGAATCCATGGAAACTGATGAGATCATCAAGGGGAATAATATAAAAGGAGAAGAGAAAAGAGTCCAGAAAGTTGAGATCATTGGTAACTTTGGAGAGAACAGTTTTGGTTGAATGATGAGGTCAGAGGTCTATAGAAATAGGAGAATGAGAGAGAGAAAAAGGAAGTGGAGGAACCTATTATATAGACAACCTTTCCAAGGAGTTCAGCCATAAAATGAGGAAAGATATGAGATGATAGCAAGGATGGCCATATCAATGGAAGGATTTTTGAGGATGGGAGAGACATGAATGTTTATAGGCAACAGGGACATAACCAGTAGATGGGAAGGGACTAGTGATAGGGATGATAGAGGGGGCATCTTCTGTTGGAGAAGATGGGATGGAATGGGATTTTCTTTTACAAATTTTTTTTAACATTTTCATTTAAAGTTTTGAGTTCCAAATGCTCTCCCTCCTTCCCTTCCCCTCTCCCTGAGACAGTAAGCAATCAGATATAGGTTATATGTGTGCAATTTTGTAAAACATTTCCATATTAGTCATTTTGTACAAGAAGACTTGAAAAAAAACTGAAAGAAAGTGAAAAACAGTAAGCTTCAGTCTGTATTCAAACAGTATCAGTTCTTTCTCTGGAGGCAGATAGTATGCTTCATCATTAGTCCTTTGGGATTGCCTTGGGTTATTGTACTTCTGAGAATAGCTAAGTCATTCATAGTTCTTCATCGAATGATATTGCCGTGACTGTGTACAACGTTCTCTGGGTTCTGCATGTAGGAATGGGATTACTTTTGCACGTTGAGGAATTAGTTTTGATACGGAGAAAGGCCCCCTCTTCATGTGAGACAAGGGTGAAAGGGGGGATAATGGCAGAAGAAGTCTGGGTGAAATGAGGTGAGAATGAGCTCCAAAGAGGGAGCTCTTGGCAAATGGCCTCACTTTCTGTGATGAAATAGGAGGCAAGGTTCTCACCTAATAGAGAGAGTGGAGGGGAAACCATTGAGGGACTTGATGAGGGATGAAAGGGCTTGGAGAAGGCATTGTATGAGTGAGATAATGAATCAGTTACAGAGATGGGAAAAAGGATTTTCTTGCCTCAGTTAGAACCCGTTTGAGCTTGTGTTGTTAAATTGTAGTGGACTCAGCATAGTTTTGTTTTTTTGTTTTTTCCTCCAGCTTCCTGCAGCAGCACATGAAAAGGAACAAAGGCATTGGAGGAGGATGGGAGTATGCTAAGGCTAGGCAGGACAAGATCAATGATAGGATTAGGGGGCAAGGGACTGGAGAGAGGGGGATTATGTAAAGTTAAAGTGATTCACCATGGTGTCAAGATGGAGAAGAGGCAAGAATGTAACCAATGTATGGACAGTGGCCAGGAAAAGAGGATGAAGAACAGAGTCAAGGATTATAAGGACAAGGAAAAGATAGAATGACAGAAGACTATTATTAGATAAGGGAATTTTAGAATTCATAAATATGGAAATGGAATGCTTTTGGGTAATGGCATGCCATTTATGATTAAGGGTATAACTCTTTAGCAGAGATGAAGTGCGGAATAGGTCTTGAGAAATAGGTAGGTTGAGGAACTAGTAAGTTAAAGTTTTGTAGTATGAGGAAATGAATAGGAGAGGAGAGAAAGACTAAGCCAAGGGCTCAATTTATTAAGGGAGGGTACTAGACCAGAGGGGTCAAACATGAGGCCCTATGGTGCAGGTAGCCTACAATACC